ACGTGTGTCACCTTTATATTTACATTTTTTTAAAAATTTTTAAATGAAATAATCGGTTCCAGTGACAGTACCCCATATTACTTGTTTTAGATACTTTTGTGACGTTATAAACGCCGCGCATGCGCGTACAGCCTCTCCAATATCGGAACACTGCGTATATAGCGTGCATGAAACGCCGGCAATTCCCGTGTGTTCCGGATAAGTGTGCCGGTGTCAGATGTAGGTATGTGTGTGTACGCGCGAGCGCGCGCAGGTGAGTTAAAGGTGAACGACGTGAAATGCGCACGAGAGAATCCCGGCGAGCGAAGCGAGAGAACGAGTTTTCTCGGCGTCTTCGTGTCCCGACGAGAGAACAATCGGTTGCGCCTGAGAAGGTAATTAAGAGAACACGACGGCGACGATTAAACGATTCCCCGCCGAATCGAGCGAAACGAATTAATTTCGCCGTCGATCGGGAATCGAAGATAAATCGATTGAAACTGATACGACCGCCGAGAAACTGAAACCTATTTAGTGCTTGTGAGCGATAATCTCTCGCGTGACATGCGAGTCCGATTCGAGGTGATTCTCCTCGAACGAAGTACGAACTACTTGCACCTAATTTTGTTATCCTACAAGAAGCATTTCTCACGATTGTTGTCGCGTTGTATGTCAAGGTCGTGAAGATAATTTCACTTTATGGGCATTAAACTTCGTTATTATAATTCGTACTTTCCGTTCTTATTGAAAAAGCGAGCAATTTGCCATTTTGAATAATTTAATGTATAATAAAATTCAGAGAATTAATAATAAGATTCAGAGAAACGAACTTCGAGAAATAAGACTATTACGAAGTCACTCAATGCAGATTACTTCAGGTTTAGCATGCAATTTTGTAGCCGCCGACAGTGCGTCGTAATGACACTTTTTATTGCTCTTTTATTGCGTGTTATTTAAACCAACAGAATAAAAAGTGAGAAATAATACATGAACTGTTTCGTACAAATGTTCATATTCGTGCTTTAGTGCCGAGTAATCGCGCTCGTCGAGCACGAAATTCTGCAATTTTTCGTAATCACACTTCACATGTGAAAACGAGATCTCATTTGCGCACGGTAAGCAGAAAAGGATGCTGAGAGAATGCCTGAGTCCAGTCGCTCGAAGAACGGACGTAGCCGAGGGCGCAGACTGGCAGCCTCGAACGTCAAATTACGAGGCACCTGCTCTTCAAAACGACTTTATTTCATTCATATTGCGCGCGTCTAAGAATTTCAAATCCGCCGAATGCGCCTTCTAGTTTCATCCACGATCGCGCGTGTTTGAGACTTAAATCTCGTTTCCAGATTTAACCCTCTTACGCGTCAGAATTCCGTATGAGAAACACGAGTCTGTCTTGTGTATAGTAATTAACATTTTCGCGCCGAGAAATGCAAATATGCGTTCCTCCATTTTGTACCTAAGTACGGATGACGCATATATGCGTTGGTTAGAATTTTTCACAAAGATTAAAATAGATAAAAAATTATAAATAGTTCATTTTCTAGTCCTTTAAGTGGTGCAAAAATTTATAGCAGTTTTGTTTTTTTTAAAGAAAACGCATTTTACGAAATTTTTCCGGTGCTAATTAAAGTCTCCTTCAACTTAATCCGGCGCGAAGATTACAATAAAATTATACAAGTCCGACGATTTTATTCACTTTATTTGGCGATGAGAAATTCTTTGGTAAATTTTAAGATGTTTACCTGTGAGAGATTAGCGACGAAATTTTACAACCGCGAGCTTCTTTGACATCGCAGAACAGTCGTTTAGAATTCCAACGCGATTTGTTTTAAGTCACTTACTTCCTCAACCGGTTCATCTTGCGCTTGTCTTTCGTGGAAAAAAAAATATCAGGACATTGAATATCTAGTATTTTATCATTAGAACACAAAAGCGAAGGAAAACGCACCAATTCGCGACGCTTGACTCGCGCGTCTCGAAAATCGATTGTCTTAACAGAACCGCGAAGTGCGGCGACAAAAGAGCGAGCGTTGAGTAAGAAATCGATTTTATCCGGAACCGGTCTACTGACACATCCGTCAGTTAAACAATGAATTCTTACCAAATGCGATCTTTTCAATTTCCTCCTCGACGAGCGAAACTGAAAACTGAATCATCTTGAAGAAACTTTTAATTTGCGACGATGTGACAGTGACTGACACAATTTCAGTTTTTTTTTTTTTTTGTCTTCTTTGATCTATACTCGCGGTCTGTATAGTTTTTATTATTTATCGTCAAAACTTACTTTCTCCGTAAGAACGCATATTAAATTATAAATATATTACGCGAAAAGTCTCTCTCTCTCGCTCTATTCACATGAAAAAAAAGTGCAAATCGGTGTCTCACCGTATTCCCCAAACTTCTCATCACTTGAAAAAAAATATTGTTCCTCAAATGTAATCTGAAGGCACCGTGTTCTCGTTGATCGCTGCTAATCTGTACTGAGGCGCGTCCAGATTCTGTGAATTCAGATGCAGACTCGTCGTTGTCGTCGTCGCGGATGACACCGCCACTGTCGGCATCTGCTGATTTGTTGAATTCGAGCTAAGGTCACTGTAGTAAGCGCTGCTAGGAGCGCTGCTCAGAGTCGGCCCGTCCGGCTCGGCGTCACTTCCGGTGTACGCTGTGTTCTGGTACGACGGATGCTCGCTATTTCTGCTACCGAGTCTGAGCTCCTGATGATGATTGTGGTGATGATTGTGGTGATGATGATGATGGTGATGATGCTGGTGCTGGCCGGGCGGTACCGGCGACGACGGTCCGTTCTCGTACATCTCGTAATCCGGCTCTTGTATCCTGGAAGCCGATAACGAGGCTTTCAATAATCACACGGACAGTTTTACGATCGGAATGTGCCATTAACTCATGCGTGGCCGTATCAATAACTGCCGATTACGCAGCGACGCGTGTCGAATACGTGCGTTGTGTTGCGACATGGCGTTGGCTGTTTTAAAAGACGTTCTAAAAAACTCGCATCGAGCTCATTACCGAGGAAACTAATCGTTCTTCGGAAAACGAATCGTTCGCGTGTTATCCTGTTTTTGCAACCGTCAACTTCGTGCTCGTTATGAATTTAAGAGGATGCTGAACCGTTCTGTTTTATCGACATTTCGTAACTCCACTTCTTTGTAAAAAACTATTAATCAAAATAAAAAACGCTTCTTTAGAAGAAAAGAAAATATACTAAAGAATTGCATAAAGCATAAGAATACTAGAAAAAAAATTTATGAACTGTTATAACAAAGATTACATTTTCGCTTTATATTATAAAATTGGCCGTATGAATCCAAAAAAATATTTTCAGCAAAACCTAGAAACAGACGAATATTTTGTATGCTTCAAATAAGATTTTGAAGCTTCGTGAAAAGAGAAATGTTGAAACTACAATTAGTACAATTTTAGAATAGAAGCGACGGAGAGACACATACGTCTATCCTTATCTCTATCATGTCACCTATCCTATCCTTGTCTCGGTCCAACTAGAGGGTACCACCTACCGGACAGCGTAGCGACTGAGAAGCTGTTTAGTCGTCGCTTCGGCATTCTTTTAATTACGTATGATCAAATGATGAAGTTTTGAAATATCATAAATACACATGTCTCTTTTATATGTATCTCCTATTTATAATAAAAACAAGAATGATCGCTTAACTCGTTCACCTTTTACTGTGCCGAGTACGAAGTGTATCCGTCTGTAGAGATCTGTCGCTGCCGCCATAATGACGATGCAATCTGGCCGCGTCCAATTCGTGATATTCGTCGTCCTGACCGCCGGAAGTCGTGCCGTATGTCGAACTTCCTCTCATTTGTAACTGCAGATCGCTCGCGTAGCTCGCGGCCTGCGAGTCTAGTTCCGCGTACAGAGCCTCGTCGGTTTGCATATGGGTGTAGTGATTCTCGACCGGCAGATTCATCGCCCGTCGATGCTGAGGAAGGGATAGCGGCGTTGTGACTACTCCGGGTGTGCCGCCACCTCGCCGAGAACCCAACCACGACCACACGTTATGTCCTAAAATTCGATTTCATTTTGAAAATTTTTATTAGTAAATAAATTGTATATAATTTTTACCCCAAAGTTTTCGTTTACTTCACATCAAGATAGAACAAGTCGTTTCATCTCGTGAGAGATCTTGCGGAGAGAGGCTATCGACTAGTTGAAAACAAGTTGCGAGATCCGGTTCTGTAAGCTCGATTTTCTTTGGCGAGCGAAATGAGATGTACCGAGAAGGAAGTGCTACCGCGTTCGCGCGATCACAACACACCTAACGCGTTGAAAATACACGGATAACGAGCAGTCATTTCTCAGCGATCTTCTTCCGGAGAAACGTCGAACAATATGTATATCTCGTGAATAACACTCACCAGGACTAGGCGCTACGTCGTGATAAGGTGGTAATTTGTCTAATTCAAGAGGCGGCCGATCGGGTATGATGGCTACTCCGCTACTGGCGCCGCTTGTTCCCGCTGGTCCCCCCGTATCGGGTACGTTCGAATCTTCCACGCCGACGCCGCAGCAGCTCGCTAAAACAAAAAGCGAAAAGAGGCTCTCACGCACAGTTCGCTGCTCCGGAAAAATTCGTTGGAGCGCGCGCGCAAAGATCGCGCTCGAATTTCACTCAGCTCGCGTTTCTCGTTGGGGTGCATCGCGCCCTGCAATCTTTTCTCGAGTTAGCGATATATATATATATATATACCTCGAATCGACGGTTCTCGCGGCGAAGCACGTGAAGTGCCAGGTGAGACTAGGACCCCGAATTCCGATACGTTACGACCTCATGTGCGCGTATGCCCCCGTGCGCAGATATAAATACTATCCCCGTGTATATAGACGGCGCGTAACCCGAATCAACGCATTATGACATGCGTATGAAGAAAAAAAAGCCCGGCTTTTTTGTACGGCTTTATTGTGAGCTTGTCATCGCGCTGTCACGAGCCCTCATAGAAGCCCGTGTCGAGGTTTGAGGCGTACCAAGCGGGTGGAGCGGGCGGTGAAACCGGAATAAGGCAGACAGAAAAGGGAGAACGAGAAAAGAAAGTGGGAGGAAAAAGATCTCGGTGTTTGTAGATCAGAAGCGCCGCCGCGACGATAAGTAGGCTCATGAGAATATGAAGAAAAAAAACCAAGATTATAGAAATCACGAGAGTCCTTCCCTCACTCTTCACCGATATCCTACTCACGTACGGGACGCGCGCGCGTTCTCTTTCGTCCTATTGCACTCGAGAAGGGTCGCCTTCTCTTAAAAAGCGAATCGCTGTCACTCGCTAACAAATCGTAGAGAGACCAAATCTCTCGTTTATCGCGTTACTCTCGCAGTGCATGCTTACGGGTTTAATGTAATCCACTGTAGGATACCAATGCCATATTATCTATACTTTTGTGAAGAAACATAACCGAAAGTCCTGAAAGATCTGAAAGTTTCTAAGTAAAAATGTTTTTGATAAATAAAACGAACGACGTAAAGAAAATACAAGAAGAAAAAAACTTTTGTTCAAACTGTTGCAAAAATGCGCGCAAAAAGCACGTGATACGCTTTAGATTTCGAGGATTCTATCTTTGTCACGTGATTACGACATAGTTTTCCATCTTTCAAACGAGTTCAAATAATTGAATTCCTTTTTCCGAGCTGTATTTTATACCTGTGTTTTATAATCCTAATCGTGTTACCAGAATAGATATATACACGGAACGATCGATAAGTATTCACATCAGAAGAGTAAGGTAACAATTTCAAGTCCACCTCGTAAATTACCGTTGCAACAGTTGAAACGCCGAGCTGTTACGTTATCAAAAATCACCGAGAACATCTATTTTAGCTGTCACACAAACTACCTACGTGCGATAATGAGTGCCAGCGTTTAACAATTTGTTCTTCTGAAAGATAAAACTTGTCAACAACAATGTGATACCACTGTCGCTGTCTATGCGTTGTTTCGGATATTTATCAATCGACCCCACGTAAGTAAAATTATACGTAAGTAAAATTAAGCGACTTGTAAAAAGTAGCGTCGAGCAACATGTCGTGACAGCGGGTGTAGAGAAGGGAGTAAACGTTACGCTCTTTTGTCACGATCAGATAGCTTAAAGACGCGCGTAAGAACTCATTTCCTACTTGCACGGTGGTACCACGCGTGGGATTTCATACGATTAAGAATTTAATACAATTTATCTCAAATTTATATGTGCGAATCAAGGTCAGAACTCAAACACAAAAGTCTTACGAACAATTTTTACAATTTTGTTATTATTTATGTAAAAAAAAAAAATACACTACTCCACAAATCTGCCGTATAATTAAGTTAAATCGATTATAGAATGTCAATTTATATAACAAAAGATTTTATCTGTTCGCGTAACGTGTCAAGCGCATATATATCGCAACTACCGTAATTTCTTGATATATTATATTATATATACGTAGGCCGATCCGAAAATCGCGTTCCAGTCGATACGCGATAAGCCGATTAACAGATTCGACTCACCTTTTCTACTCGACTCCTCGGTCATTGTATCCGGAGGATTGCACGGCAATCTAACGTGTATGGCGCGGAACCCCATTCTTTTTTTGCGCGAGAGCAACCTCTTTCAGCCGTCCATTAACGCGCTACTCGCCCGGTGGCACTTAAAGCAATCCTTACGTACGGGAGAGAGGATCAACTATTAACGAACTTTCGCTAATTTATTTTTTGTCTGCCGGGATATTCAATTATCTGTAATAGTATAAAATATATCGGCGCGGTAAAGTTAACGTGTTTTACGAGTTCCGCTTAAGCTTTTAATCGCTAATGATTCAAATTACTAATTCAATTGATTTTGTAACGCTGATTATATGCGTTACATACGAAAACCACAAACTTGAGTATAATAAATCATCAGTTTTTTAAATATGTAATAACTATATTTTTAAACTTCCAGCCGCGTAATGTGTAATTAAGCATCTTCTATCAGCAATTTGGAAACTTTGAAAGAGCCAGTAGGCCAGCCAGGTTTTTTTTACATTGTTCCGCACTGTATAAAAATCTGAAAAAATTCTCGTACATCTTGTAATAACTTTAAAATAACAATTCTTTAAAATAACATTCTTCAAAACTTTATAATAACATTCTTTGTTAATTCGTTAAAATAGCAAGTTTTTACTATTGTAAAAGTTAAATTGTATGTTTTACTTATTTTTTGCAGAGTAAAATCGGAGCAAAAACATTTAAAACAAAAATTTTCGTAAGAATTGATTGAGTCTTGAAATCTCCACATTGTCTTTTGTTAATATCGAGTTTACATGTTTTTTTTTTAATAATCTAGTGTTTACAAGCTAGTTTCACAGGATCCTGCCGGGGTTTTTTAGTGCAAATCACCTTGCGAAGATCTATGATAATGCGCGGACGCGATCCGAAAGGTTGAATGAAACGAGTGTCGGATAATTAATTCACGCGGATGACCCCTGCCTGCATCTCAGGCGGTAGCACACTCCGGCATACCTCCTCCTTCGTCTTCTCACTCACTCGTCGTCTTCATGTCCGCCAAGCTCGTCGATCGTATCGTGCAGCGGGTGATTTTAAATTAGAAAGTTAATTAGACGCGTTTCGCGTTGTCCTTTACGTCATCCGTTCGTCGCGTCGTGTCTTTCGATCCACACGACGACAAAGCTAACAGCACACGCTTTATACCGTCTCGATTGTAACTTATATATTGCGAACTAATTAAACTCCAATCGATATTGACACTCGACACTGCAGCATTGCTCTCTTTCTCTTTCGCGCGGACGTGCACGCGCGTACTTGTTTATACGAAGTTCTCGCAATGAGACTCGCTTTTTGTTCGTGAGTCCCTTCACCGCCTGAAACCTTCGTACGTGGTTGCGAAAGCGACATCGTGAACTAACCTCTGGACACGTATCACAAAAAAAGAGATATCTCCTGATAAGAGACACAGTATCTCACAGGAGCGTGTCTCACGTTTTCGAAGCGTCACGTTTGTCGATCCGACTGATTGTTGCTCTATTTTGTTTTTTTTTTGCCGACAACACTGCGCTATAAAAGGCGGTATTTCATCAGTTGACACTCGGATTTTTCAAATTTACACGATGAGATATCGGCGTGAACAAATCTATATGATTTTTGATTAACGATATATCATACAGAACCCGAGCAAATAGAAAGGAGCTGGTAATTTAGTAGGAAACTCGGACAATTAGAAGTTTATTTCGAATCTGACTATGTCAGCATCGCTGTAAACTTGTCGAACTCCGAAAGTGGTAATGTTTAATTTGACATAATTTGAAGACTTTGCGTCTTGACAATAAATCTTCCTTAATTTCGATTAATTGTAATTCCAATCCCACGTGAATCCCTTTAAAAGTAATTTTTGCTTGTGCGAGTTCGAGTTCGCACGACAATTAAGACACGCGTTTCATTTGTGCAGATCTGTTCTTGTTCATTATATATCTGTTAAAATAAATATATATTACGTTAACCTGTAGAAGATCGGCAGAATTCCATTGAAATAGTGAACTTTTTTTCACGGAAAATTTATGCACACATTTGTAACCTATATGTATCATATATAATTGCTAAGTCTGTTGCTGGCTCATATGTGGATCCCACCGGCTCTCTAAAGGTTAAAGTAAATATATAATAAATATAAAAGAATACAAATATAAATAAAATAATAAAATTAAAAATATAAATATAAAATAAACATATTAATATAATTGTGTGTTGATATCACATGATTTCGCATGAAACATATGCGTCACAATAAGAATTTACATACCTCTACCACCGGCGCTTTTTATCCTGCAACAGACAAAATAAAAATATTAATAAATACTGAAATATTAATATAAAGAGTATAAATTGAAAACAATGTAAGCAATCTTTTCTTCCTTACTTTTAACAAAACTACTTGTATTCGTGTAAAACAAAGTAATAACACTGACCTTCGGCAATGAAGAAGGGTCATCATGACTACCGCTCCAATACCAGCAGATACTAAGGACACTATCACTAGAGTCAAGACCCATCCGAGTTCTCCAGGAGCTTCTGCAAAGCAGCAAAAAATCACAAATTCAATAATACTGAGAGAGAATACATATAATTCAATATAATTCAATATAGTTATATATTGAATAATATAATTCAATATAGTTTTTTACACTATTAATATTATTTAACATACACTTTCTTGGTCATTAAAGAAAAAAAACGTAAATTTATTTCGGCTAAAATATGATGATGTACATAAAAACATCTTTTCGCATCGTCTCAGTGTCTGCTTCGCCAAATTATCGTATTTCCCTCGGGCAAGCACGGGGCATCTTTGCCGAGCGTTACGAACTACACACGAGCACCGTATAAATCGACTCTCGAGATCTTCGTGCGGTTACTCGCGGGTGCCCCGTAATTGGCTCACAGCCTCATCCGGCGCGTTGTGCGTTTCCGCGCAGCGGGGGACACCCCGTAAGTTTATTAGACGTACTTCGCTATTATTTCTGCCGCACACCTACCGAAAGCCACTTCGCGTCCCTAAGCTACTCCCCATTTATCCCACTGAAATCGTTTCATCTTGGACGCGCACTCGCGCAGCGATCTCGCGCGCATCGCGAAGACCTCTTAACGAGGTTCGCGATTATCGCCCGCGCGAACGTAATTAAGAGAATCGCACCGCAGGCTTATTGCGAGGAAACGGCAGTTGCGAGCGAGCGTATACGATGAAGGCGAATGGAAGTAGATCTCCTTCTCGTCGGATCGGATTGCGATGATTTCCCGCGGCTTTCGCCCAAGAGATATTGCGCATTTGTCGAACGATTGCCGACCAGTTCGCCGACTGTTTGCATAGTCGTTTTCTCTTCTGCAAACGCGAGTTTTATCCAAGATAATCGCGTGCGCGCCCCGATTCCTTCACTTGCTTCACTTCTCCGCGCTCATTAGTCCGGCTTTTAGAGTTTTGTCGCTTTATCATGAGATATCTTAAGCTTGTACAAAATATTTCTGATCGGTCTTTACTCGAGCTTCTTAATCGTGCCGCGATTTCATCGCCGACCGACGTGAATTCAAACGTCGAAATGGAGATTAGCGGCTGCATGCAATATCGCGAACGACGTCGGAACGGGATAATTAGATCTCGCTGATCGCCGGATTATCCGCGAAAGATCCACGTAACGCGCGCGTTTTAACTGGCAACCGACAACTTTGTTTGCTGTTTCCTCCTTTACCGCCGGCGACATTGATCGCATCCAGTTTTCAAATCCTTCCGAGACCAACTCTCCGTGATCTCGAGAGACGAAGTATAACACTCGTTCGGGGAAGTAGATTCATTACGCTCTTGTCACACGTGGCTTCTTTCATGCCATTGATCTGCCCACGCGTACGTGGGTTTATATGTACTCGAGATTGTCGACATCGCAATCGCTCAAAGCCCTCGGAAATAAAACTTCCAAAGAAGAGGAAGTTTATTCAAAGAAGAAAGAACCGCTCGTGATCGAGAGCTACTACTCTGCATACAAATGCATCGTTAATGGTGGTTTCTTCTTCGCGAGGCGGACTAAGAGGAGGTAAAAATGTGGGACGAAACGGCATCTTTTCGAGAATCGAGTCAACGATTTTTGAAAGACTTCCAATCGAAACGCAACCGAGCTACAATATATATTAAAAAAAAGGTGATTTCTGAAGAAAATATTCATTTATACTTGGCGTAAATTTTTTAAATTGATATTTCTTCAAACACGATTATTCTATTAAGACGGTGACGGTTGTAGTACGTTAATTTCTATATAGATCCATTCTGAAAGGATAAAGGTGAAGAGTGAATCGATGAGAAAGGCAAAGGTGAATCGAAGAGCAACGGGAATGTAATAGAAAAAGCGAGACGCATTTAACACGTCTCTTTCCGACATGTAGCTTTGAATTGAAGGCAACAAGTCGCGTGGATACGACTGAAAAGTCGAGAGAAAGAAAGAGAGAGAGAGAGAGAGAGAGAGAGAGAGAGAGAGAGGCAAGGGAAAAGGCAAGACCCGTCTATCAGCGTCACGTTCCTGACGTGAACATAACAGCGTGCATGTTGCGGCTGATAACGCTTACAAGAGAAAGTTATCAATCATCTCGCGACTAGATTAACCATCTAGACCAATGCGTGTTAATGTCGACCGAGCGAGTCCGTTCTTACAGTTATCTCGATTTTAAATTGTTTTGATCTTTGAACAAGAATCGAGCTAGTTAAGGCTAGTCTCTTCAATCTGTATGTCGGAATTAATAATCTTCTAAATATCCTTTGTGAGTTTGTCTCATTAGCAAGAAAAGGTTGAGTGACATATATGTATTTTACTAGATAGGAAGGTTTTCTAACGCTTGATTTCACTTCGGAAGTTCACTTCAGAAGAAAAATTCAATTGTCAAAATGACATACTACGGCTTCGAAGTACGTATCCGGTTATCTGAGATCGATAATAATAATAATATCTGAATATAAGGACGTTAAGAGCCGTTCACAGGATGTTGTGCGTGAATGTGCTATATATATATGTGCGTGTATGCACATATAAACGAATTCACGTTTTCACGTGTTTTTTGAATTGAAAATTTCAATTCATAAAATCATACAGGATGCTATACTTGCATCTCATGTATGAAGGAACCCATATACCCCCCGAACTAATTTTAAAATATTGCGATAATAATAAATTTAATTCCAATTTTAATCTATGTGTAATCTTTTTTGTTCAGCATCTTTCAAAACACTTTAAAAATTACAGAAAATAAATTATGTCCAGCTTTTTTTTGTTAAATTATTTTCTTTAATTAACAACGAGACATATTAGCAAACACTTGAAAGGAAATGCTGGAATTTTTGCAAAAGTTTTTAAAATTGAATGGATGTCTGCAAAAAGATCGTATATTACAAATTTTCGAAATTTGTTTTTTTTTTTGTGGTCAGTATGATCTAAAGAATAGGTCGGCAAAAGTTTTAGTACTTAGCAATGCCGCTACAGGTCAGAAGATGGAGATTACAATAAACACGGTGATGAGAAAACTGAAGGAAAGCGTACGTGATCAAAACAATATGACATTAAAAAACACTATACTTAAGTTGGAAAAATAGCGTATGTTACACTAACTGCTCGTTCACCTGCTACAATGAACAATGATTTGTTTTTCTGCTCTTTTTTAAAATTTATGAAATATAACATATATCCTTTTTTTCAGACACCTATTCATTAATATTTTTAAACCAAGTAAAATGCGTCGGATCTTTGATTTCATTTTTAGTGTTAAAAAAAAAAAAAGAAAAAAAACGATTCGAGATTAAGACTAAGATTATGTCTCGTTGTGCTGTACAAACAAATCCGTAACTTTACGCCAACGTCTGCGCGTTGATCGTTTATATTTTTGGAAGCTTGTTACACTGTACTTGCAAATTCTGATTTTCTCTCCATCTTCGCATAAAAATAAATATTTGCAGACCGTGCATTTTTGTGCAATGCGTTTCGTCCTCTCTGTCGCAAAAATGTGTATATTTATTTAAGCAAGTTGAAATAACAAAAGCGGTCAATGGCAAATCCGCGTCGCGATATCTTTCGGGCGGACAATATACGCCGACGATTTGCACACGAAATCGACAAGTCTCGCCGATCAGTAAATTTCAAGTTCCCTCTGCCGTTACGAGCGCCGCGGACCGGTCTCTGCATACTGTTAAAGCTCTTTATCGAGATTTTGTCGATAAACGCCTTCTCGTGACGCTCGACATTTCTCTAGATTTTCGTCGATAGTCGTACGCCTACATTCTTTGACTTAGCTCTCTCTCTCTCTCTCTCTCTCTCTCTCTCTCTCTCTCTCTCTCTCTCTTTTCTCAATACGTATATGTCGTATGCATCTCGTGCAAATTCTCTTTTTGCTCGGCGCGGCCGGTTCGGTCTCGAGGTCGTTCCGCGATCCATTTCGACAGGTGGTCCACACAGTCCACCTCGTATTTCAGGATTCCGGACTCCAATTACGGGTCTTGCGAATAACCGGGCTGTTTTTCTCTTCTTTCTTTTTTTCTCCGTTTCTCACTCGAGCTCTAGATCCGGGACCCAATTCTTATATGAATCCGTGGGGGGTCGATACGTGGGATATCAAGTCGCGCGATTATATTGTAAACCGTTTTTATCCTTCGCGTCCACTACTGCGCCACCGACAACTTCTTTCGTAACGGGTTAGCTCCGTAAGCGCGGCTCCTACGGCTTATAATATGAATTATGATACGATCTTGTTTGTGCACACGAGGTGAGTATCGATTTGGCGAAATCGGACTAAAGTTTGCATCGCGACGCCGATGTTGCGATTATTAAGAGCCGATTATTTACGCACACTCGAATATATTTTATTCGACTCATTACGTCGCCCGATTTTTGCTCGTCTTGTGACCATTTCGATTTACGTTAGCGCGCTCCGACGATTTCCGGAATTTCAGTTCGATGAGAGAATTAAGTTCCGAGAGACGAGTATATAACTCAAAGCAATTTCCAGTTTGGACTTCGGTAAAAGAGAGTTTGTGTGTTTCATCACGTGAGATGGCACTTTGTATGGTCATTATGCAAATTGGCAATTACAGCTGTACGATCGCCCGGCTCGTTTAAAAGGTTCTCGATCGACGAACCGGGCGTGTTCTATGACGTGTACAAGTATCAGACATTTCACTCTAATTACATTTAACGTTCGCAAATTGTTGTGTTTTCACAACAACAATCGCGATATCACGTTATAAAAGAGATTGTCGTATTACACACACAGACGAAACGCATAGAGATTCAAACGGTTTTTTAAATGTAATTTATTTTAATTTATTTGATTAATTTTGCAATGGCACACATGTTAACAATGTTAATGATGTATCTGCATATATTTACATATACATATAATTTAATCTTCGATCATCATTTTTATTCAAGAAATAAAAACAAAAGTTTCCGTCGCCACAAATTTTTTCTTTGAAACCGCGCATTGTAATCTGCATTATTTACAAACTGTAGAAGCGCAGAAAATTGACAAATGTTCGATACGGCCAA